CTGTAGTTCAGATAATGAATATAAACTCTAAGTTATGACTATCAATAATTATTGCTTGGATTTATATTATCCTGATTATTTTGATTCACATAATTTTTAAGAGAAGTTGTATACCAAATAATTTTCTTCCTAATCTCTCCTACATAAACTCTTTGGTCCAGCCAGCCTCATTTATCCATTTGAGTCAGTTACTAGAATAAAACTAGTACCTATGAGATGTCTTGGAATTTATAAAGAACCTTTACATTTATCACACAGGTACAGTAGTTAAAAGATGAATCAAATATAGAGTCAAATATACCTGGATTTGAGCCACAACTTATTAGTTATGTGACTTTGGAGAAATTAATTTCTGTTTTTCAGTTGCATAGTAATAGTACTTACCTATGGGAGTTAGTGTGTTAAAAGAGACCTTGTATGAAAAGTACAAGCACAGACCTTAGTAAGCATCAGGCTGTCAGTTAAAACAAAGAACCTCAGTGCAGGTGGGAGATAATACTATTCCATTTGGATGAGTCAGCTACAAAGTTAGTGACTTGCCCATGGTCACATAATCAGCAAAGGACAGAGGAAGGATCGTAATCCAGACTGGATCTTCCACAGACCGACTTTAGTTAGTACTTGGACACACACACACACACACACACACACACACACACACACACAGTCACCCAAGAACAAATAACAACTGCTTTATATCTGTTTAGTACTCCTCAGGTCTCCCAGCCAAGTATCATGAGTGAAAATTTTCCTAATGTGGCTAAAATACAGGATTGGCTCTGTGGCTCTGTTGGGCATGATGGTGATGTTATTATTCCTACTGTGACATCTTCACCTGCAAGGTGTGGCTGACAAAACTGTCTGCTAGTTCACATAAGGACTGGGGCCTATTTGCAATCTGCTTTCAACTCCTGAAGAGTTGCCACTGCCATGGCAGACATCCCACTAGGATGGCTTCCTGTGTGACTGTTGTGACAGAATATCTGAGTCATCAGCCTCCTGCAGCAGCACTGAGCAGTGCCAAGCCTCAGTACTAGGCAATACTGTGCTCTTGACTGTTGGTCTCCCTCCAACCTGTTTCTAAGTTCTGTTTTTGAGAGAAACAATGGGAAATATGTTTCAATTACAGCAAGAAAGATATAGTTAAGGCATCTACTTCTCCATTTTTCAGAAATGTCTGATATCAAAGTTGTTTGTTCTTAAGGAAACTTGTTCTATTTTCAAAATTTCCTAATACATAGTAAATATACATGGGACAAAACTTTAAAGGTACAAAAGGATGTGCAATGAAATATCTCCCTTCCATCCCTGTCTCTGCTTCTGAGTTATCCATCCTAGACTTGACTACTGCTCTGATCAACTACTGTATGTGTATTTTTGTGCATGCCTTCTGCACCATTCAACGGTAATGCATACCTGTAAATAGTTGATAACCTCTTAATCCTGCGTAGTGGATTGACAACTGTTGGTCAACTTGAAACACACAGCAGAACTAAATCAGCGTGGTGCTGGTTGTGGAGGACTTTCCACCTGAGGGTTGTTGTCAATAACATAAAAAGGAGAACTGGAAAGGAAAAGGTGGTGCTGTTGGTTCTCCTGGAGAAGCTTGTCATGCTTGTTTTCCTGATAGGAACTTGGCTGTTTTCATCATAGGAGGAGCTTGGGATCTCCCTGTTGCTGAGGATGACTGCTGCTCTCTTTGGGGGTGGGGGCGCTGGGCTATACTTTGAGTGCTGCTTTCTGGCTCCCACGCAGATCCCTCAGCCTGTTAGCAGAGATTTTTCATTCCCTGGTGCACTTTCTAGCTTCCACCACTGACTTTTGGGCCTTTCCAGTGCAGATCCTTGATAAAGACTGGCATGAGACATTGTCATAAGCTCTAGGCCTCCAGCTGGACTTCTGGAAGACATTGCCATGGGATCCAGGCCTTCAGCTGGGTTCTTTGGATCTCTAGTGTGTGGACAGATCTCTTGTACTCTTTTTGCATTTGATTCTTTTGAGTAAATATTATGAAATAATTCTATAAATTATGTGTCCTGTATTAAATTGTTTCCCTTGCAAGCCCTGACTACAACATACTGTATCTTAAAGATTATTCTATTTTTGGGGTATAAAAAGTTGTTTCATTGTAATGAAGGCTGCACAGTTTTTGCTTATATGGATAAACCATATTGTACTTTACTTAATCCTCTTTGTATTAGCAGATATTAGCTGTTTCAAATCTTTTCTACTTTAATAATTACATTAATGACTACTTGTACATTAAAAAATGTAGCAGTCTGTCTCAAGCTTAAATTCCTAGATGTAGATTTAAATATTACCAACTGCTCACTATAGAGGCTGTACCAATGCATAGTCTCATTAATTGTGAGTTACCTGCCCCACATCACCATATTTTTCTGGGATCTTGCTCAGTATTATTTACTTGCATGTTTTTCCTTGGTACTGGGGATTGAGCCCAGGACTCTGGCACTGAGTTATCCCCACACACACCTTTTTTGAGACAGGGTCTTGATAAGTTGCTAAGTTGTCTAGGCTGGACTTAAACTTGTGATCGTCCTGTTTCAGCCTCCCAGAATGTAGGTTACAGGTGTGCATTACCAAGCTTGGCTACCTACAGGTTTTTAACATCTTGTATTATTAAACACAGGAAATTCCTTATAAGGAATTGATTAAGTTTGGGGCAAACCATCTGGGACTATTGGGTAAATTCTCTTTGTAAGATGAATAAAGATAACTCACCTTTGAGGCAAATGTCCTGAACAGTGAGGGATGGGCCAAGTTCTCCTTAATCCTTAGATCTACTATCATTTGAAAACAACTGCTCTATCCTTAGGGCAGGACAGTTTGCAGGCAGACAATTACCCCTACTAATTAACTTTTTAAAAATTACAAAGTAATACACTTTTAATGTCAAATACTTTAAAAAGACAGGTAAGCAAAAAAAAAAAAAAAGAATAGTAGTAGTAGGGAACAAAAAGAAGTGGACCATTTTTATAGGGATTGAAAGAAGGCAATGAACATTAGGCAGGACGATGTTAATAAACATCAGTGATGAAAGTTCTCTGGCTTTGCACCTCAGTGGGCAGAGTCCTTGAGGAGTCCAGTGTAAATTTTTCGGTTATCTCCAGATGTCCAGGAACCTACAAGATTCCATGCCCTATCTTATCTCTTTTAGTCTCCGCTGAGAACAATGCCTCTGCTGGTAAACAGGTCAGTAAACATGCTAGGAGAGGCATGTCCAATTTGAGCCTTAGAGTAACAGCAATACTGCTTCAAGTACTGGCTACAAACAGTCTAATACTATTGTTACCCAGCCCCATTTTACAGATAAAGAAACTAAAGTTCCAAGAAGTAATTTTTACAATGTATTTCTAATAACTGGCATTGCCATGGTATAAACTTTAGTATTTCTAAAGCCTGAAGTTGAATTTCAGAGCACTCATTATGTGAAATCAAGAACACAGCCTAGGAATAAATACTGTCAGACACTGTGCTTATTTTTTATACATGCACCATACTTAGGAGTTCGTTAGAGGGACTCTCTTCAGTTGGAAATCTAAGCTAAATCTGTTTCTCTCATTGTATGTAGGATAGTAGTGGTTGTCGCAGAGAGAGACAAAAGTAGTATCTTCATTTCTGTTATTATACAACTACTTAGTTTTTATTTTATATCAGCGTTATCTTCCTTATAAGGTTGTACCAATTTGTATTCCCACCAGCTGCGAATGAGTGAGACGTTTCTTCATATATTTACTATTCTGGTTACTCATTAAGTCCTCAGATGTATCCTTTCATTTTTGGACTGTGGACTATTTAGTGTCATTCTATTGTGTAGAATGTGCTTTTGTTAATTAACATCGAGAACGGGGTGCTGATCCATGTTCTCTAAACAGTAAGAGTGTTGGGAATTGTTCAGATTATATCAGCGTGAGTGGAATATCCATACTTGCCTGAAGGATCTGAGCCATGCGGGTCACTTTAACACTGAATTTTTCAATCCAGATGGAAAACTTTAGACACCGAATTTCCGACCTCAAAGTCCACATTTATCTTGACTATGAGCTTCTGAACGAGTGAGGGCCCGGAGTCTGCTCCTGGGCTCAGGCCCAGGCCCGAGGATAATCTGATATTGCATACAGCTCTGCTTTATTTCCGGTCCTTCAAAAGACTGTTTCATATAATTTTTTTGTAACTCTCTCCCGCTAACCCAATAATGTCCCTTTTGTTTGGTGAGATGGGTCCTCTGAATCACAATCCCTGGAGCAAGTTTATACATCAAACTTTGTTGACCACAGATACGTTTTGGTGGTCTTTATTTTAAGGCTTTGTCAATCCTAAGCCATAGGTCCTAACTCTAAAACAACCGGGAAGTTCTACTCAGGGTCTTTTTACAGATTGTTTTTTGAAAACAGGATGGGTTCTCACCTGCTAGCAATGCAAGTCCGCTTGATGAACTAGAAGTCATCAGTTTTTGCTTTCACTTCCTGCAATACTCCAAGCTAGCCAGAGCACTTGTTTTCTCTACGTGGAAATCTCTTCCCCTAGATCTTTACCCGGCTGTCTCTGCTCAGAGGCCACCTCCTGGGACTAGGCTGTGCTCGTGTAAGGTAGGCATCTCTCCCTACGCTCCTCCATCTCTACCTCCTCCTGTGTCTATTTTACTTTCCCTCCCCTGTTTGAATCTGCCTTATTCCATTGCTTATTAAAAAGAAAAAAAATTCGGCCCTGAGAATGGAAGATCCAGGCACCTGCCCGACCAACGGTTGTCAAATAATAAATGTCTCAACCTGCTCTTGCGGCTGTAAATATCCTCCAAGACGCCCTCAGGCATTACGACTCCAGCAAGAAAGAGTCGGAGGACGTTCAGTCACGCCATTGGTTGGAGTTTTTACTGTTGCTCCTGGAAACTACTGTTTTCAACCAGTCATGTAGTCACCCCGCCCCTCCCCGCTGTCTGATCCCTCCGCAGGACGCCGAGTCTCGGCCCAAAGTAAAATCGGCCCTTTCCCTTTAAGTCGCGGGACTTCCGGTCACGTGGCCAGCGGCCGCCGGAAGGGGAAGTTTCGCTTCAAGACGCTGTTTCGCTCGTCCGAATTCGGTGGCGCCACGTCCGCCGGTCACCGCCTTCTGCACCGCGATTCTAGCGGCCTCCGCCTCGATACCTTCCTTTCGCGAAGCCGGCTGCGTCGTGAGGGCGTCGGGACGGGCACACGGGTGATTGTGCGCATCCTGGCGACCTGAGAGGCCAAGATGTCGGACATCGGGGACTGGTTTAGGAGTATCCCGGCCATCACGCGCTACTGGTTCGCTGCCAGCATTGCAGTCCCCTTGGTCGGCAAACTCGGCCTCATCAGCCCGGCTTACTTATTCCTATGGCCCGAAGCCTTCCTCTATCGCTTCCAGGTACTGGCCGGCGCTGGGGACTGGAGACTTCAGGGCCCAGGCGGCCCCGCGGCGGCGAGCGGGCGCCCGCACGTTGGGGACGCGCGGTGGCTGGTGGGATTTGTAGTGCGTCTGGTTCCAGTGGGTGAGGGCGGGGTTTTGTGGGCCCGTACGGTTCAGGGGTCTGGAGCGAGTGCATGGAGAGCTGGAGACGTAGGTTTGACCTGGTGAGAAGGGACTGCCTTCACCTGTGTAGTAAGATTGTGCTTCCTGCCCTGCACACTCTGAAGGAGGTAATCGGAAGGTAAGTCAGTGGTTGGGGTCAATCTTTTTGGATGTCGGTGGGTTTATCTGGGACCGTGCCGTTTGACTACTTGTCGCCCACGTGGGTGGCGTGGTGTCTGCGTTATCTGTATTGTCAACTTGACTAACTTTGTTTTCATGTTACTGGAGGCCCCCCTCCCACCCGGAGTGACTTAAGGCCAGAGATACAAAGAATGAGTTTACTTACATGTACTTCCTTGGGCCTTGACTTAGTGTTCGGCTTGTAGTAATTCAGCCCAAGAACAAACGTAAAGAGTAACTGCTTTAGAAGTGGAAGACCTTGTTACTTTATTAAGTGTGAGGTAAGACAGTGCAGACTGTCATTCATTGCAAGACAGTGTTGGTTTCCTGGAAGTTTGGCTAGTGTATGTAATTTATTTATTTATTTATTTATTTTTGGTTTTTCTCCGGTACCGGGAACCGAACTCATGACCTTGTGCTTGCCAGGCAGGCGCTTTGCCACTGAGCTAAATCCCCAGCCCCTAGTGTATGTAATTTAAAACTAATCGTTGGGACGTTAAATTCCAATATCTGACATTAATTTCAACACTTTACGGTACTTGGCTTGTGGATAACACTCCCTTGCTCCCCACCTCACTGAGTAGTTATTTCTTAATCTCCTTTGCTGATTTTTTTTCCAATCCGATTTTATTGGTACATTTTAGATATAATGACCACATTGATCTTAGAGAATTTGTACCTATACATAAATTTTTTTTTAAGACAGGTTCTCATCATTCAGTACAGGCTGGTGGTGAACTCGAGTCGAACCTCCTGCCTCAGTTTCCCCAGTGCTAAGATTATAGGCGTGTTCCACCGCTCATGGCTGCTTTGCTGATTTCTCATCTTTCTGACCTTTAAATGTTGGGAAATGTCCCAGGAATCAGTTAAAGGCCTTCTTCTATAGACTCTTACTAGTTGAGATGATATTATCTAGCCTCATGGCTTTAAATATTTTATATAAATGGAAGACTCAAAGACTCAGTATAAAATTTGCAACTTATATTTGTCATTTGATTTCCAGATTTATGCATTTATCAGACTTGGAAATCATCATTTGGATGACCAGTAGACATCTCAGTCAAACTTGATGAGCCAAGAACCAAGTTTGCTTGTTCCCTTTTCCCTAGAAGCAAATCACAACTTCATTAGTAGGAACTCAAGCTAACAGCGGTGGAGTCATCTTAGACTTTTTTCTCTCGTGTGCCACAATTCTGTCAGAAAGTCCTATTGACTCTGCCTTAAATATAATCCGGAATACAAACACTTCTTATTCTCCATTGCATGCCATTATCATTCGATCCTTGTTCCTTTTGATCTTTTTTCTCTGAACAGTTAGGGTGATTCTTTGAAAGAATAAATCATGGCCTGTCAGCCTGCCCAGAATACTCCAGTGTCTTCTCAACCAGATGAATAAAATCCAAGGGCTTGCCAGGCCCCTGACTGGCTCTCTCATCTCATCTCCTACTGTTCAGTCTATTGTACCTTAGGCTCCATGATAAAGTCCTTGCTGTTTTTTTCAGCACCTAATTGGATCCCTTCTCAGGGCCTTTGTGTTTTTTTTTTTTAAGGGCCTGTGTGTTATTTCTCTGCTTTTGGGAGGTAACCACTGCTCATGCATTTGCCTCCCTGCATCCTTCAGGTCTCTGTGCAAATGCCATCTTACCAGCAAGGCCTTCTCTGATGGTCCTACATAAAATAGTACCTCTCCTTCATTCATTTCCATTACTTCACCCCTTGGTGGAATTTGCTGATCTGCTTCTCAGAGGTTAAAGTTCCATGAGAGCCAGATCTTTGTCCTTCGTTATCTAGAATTATTCCTGGCATGTAGTAGGTGCTTATATATTCTTTGAATTTGTAGAAATAATTGGACACTTGCTATGTTCTGGGCATTGAGAATACAATAGCAAGTAGACAGAAAAAGTTCTTTTTCACATGAAGAAAATAGACACATATGTGATGGAGGGGGAGTATAATATCTTAGAGTGTTCCAGAAAAGCCTTGGAAGACATTTGATCTGGTAGATCTGGCACTGGGCACCACCTTCCAAAAAGAAGAAATAGTAAGTGAAAGGCTTAGAGGCAGGAACAAAAGGAATATTGGGTGGCTAGTACAGAGTTAACTATAGGAGTGAGGATCAGCAGATGAGGACAGAGCTAGCCAAGGGTGAGTGTGAGAAAGCAAAAAAAGGTAGGTTTGGGCAAGATCACAGAGGGCCTCCTAGACTGTGTTAGGAGGTTTGAATTTGATTTAATGTACTGTATTTTTTTGCAGTGTTGCAGTTGAACACAGGGCCAAGCACAGCTGTGCCGCTGAACTTGACCTATGGAATTTGGGAGCCTTCTGAGTAAAGGATTGACAGGTTGCCTTGACTACTCTGTGAGTAGACTTGTGCATGGGGAAGTGCTAGGTGATGGAATCAGAGAGGGATGCAAATTAGGCAGACAGATGGTGGTTTGAGCAGGGTGGCTATGAGGATACAGAAAAATGGATAGATTTGGCAGTTGGAAGGGACAGGATTGCTGCTGAGTGGATATTAAGGGAAAGTGGGTGACAGAAAGAGGACTCAGGGTCGGGGATATAGCTCAGTGACACAACATGTGCCTGGCAAGTGCGAGGTCCTGAATTCCATTCCTGGTACCCACTCCCAAAAAAGAAAGAAGAGTCAAGGATGTCAGTGTTTTCACAGGAGCAACTTAGTGGATTGTGCAGCCCTTTATGGAGACTGGAAGTGTTTAGGGAGGCTTGGGTTTGGTGGGGAGTGTGGTTGAATGGTTATGCTTTAGCCATTGTTAAGTCTTAAGATGCTTTTTAGGTATATGTGGAGAAACCAAGTAGGGAATTGAATCAGGTAGAAGGTTGAATATAAGAACATGATTCTAGAGCACAGCTAGAATTGCATACTATTTTCTGTTTACCTTAGCAAATATGTGTTGGTTGAGTGCATGTTGTACACTTTGTGCCTACTGGCATGTTGGGTAGTGTGTGTGCAAGGGGAGCAGTGGTTGTTTTGTAAGAAAGGCCTGATCAAAACTGACTCTTTGACCCTTCTTGCAAAATCTTCCTCAATTGTATACTAAGACTAGTAGAGTAATTGACATTAAAAAGCCTTTTTAATGAGGCTGCAGGTGTAGTTTGATGACCTGATTAGAAAAAGCCATCATTTAAGTCACACCTTTCATGATTTCTCCATCTTCCTTTTGTATTGTATTTTCCAGGCTTGTTATCATGAGACTAGGAGAAGCTGCTGGCAGGAGGCCACACGGTGCCCTGACTGCCTAGGTGTGAAAAGACCAGTAGCTGTGCCTTGTCTCTGCTTCCGTTCTGACTCTTGCTCTAGACAAACTAGCTACCAAACCAAACTGGAGGAACTCATTTTCCAATGATGCAGTTGAGGAAAATCTACATCAGAGGGCTGAGTGTGCCAGTACAGTGTGTGGTGTGCTTTTGCAGAGTTTATTGTAAGAGACTCTCCTTCTTCTTAAAAAAATTGGGGGATGACTGATTTAGGATTGTACATTCATGTTGGAAATGACAAAAGTCATTTTGTTCTCTTTGACTGTAGGTATCCTCAATATATAGGTTGATAGTTTGGAATGTCAAAGTTTAGAATGTTTGTTTTGTTTTGTTTTTCTTCCAGTACCAGGAATTGAACTCACGACCTTGCGCTTGCCAGGAAGGCGCTGTACTGCTGAGCTAAATCCCCAGACCTCAAAGTTTAAAATGTTACTTCTCTGGTTTGGCTAGGTCAAAACAGGTGTATGCTAAAACTCACAGCACCATTGTCCACGCTTTCTTCTTGTTCCTTGTCCCTTGGTCTTACTGCTCATCAGTCAAATAGTTCATAATGATGAAATGTGTTCATATTGGTCCTGGGTTACAAGAGACACTGGCAGTTTCCTGCTGCCTCGTGTTCTGAGATTATTCTTCCAGGGCTGACTGCATTATGACACTTCTTCATTTCTTTGCACAAAATAACTTTACCCCTTACGTTTGTGTTGCGTTTTTCCATATGTTACTTCATTCAAATCCCATGATCATCTTGGGATAACTGTTACCCATTCTTTAGACAGCTGCAGTTTCAGTTCCTATTTTGATGAGTTGACCATAGAGCTAAGTTATCTTGTTTAGTTCTTTTGCAACAAAAATAATCTAGTGTTTAGTAAAACATTTTGGAAAGTGATTTCTTCCAAATTAATCATAGCAGATTATCTTTCCTTTTCTGTTAGACTGGAAAGACCATAGGGTTTCAAATAGTTTGAGTCAGGGTCTTAAGGCCTGGTTCAGCTTCTTACTAGTGTGCTATTAGGCAAGTCATTTATACTTCTGAGCTTCAGTTTCTTTACCTAAAAGTGGAAATGATATAAAACCATATTTACTCTCTTCTAAGATTTCATTAGTTATATCATATGCCATCAATTTGATGCAGCTTTTTTGGGGGGAGGGATAGAAATTAACTATATTAGTTGTGAGATACATTCAAATTTTATAGAAACACAAAATGAATACCTTTAAATTGAGGTGTTATCTATACCTGTCTTAAATGGAACACAAAGAAGAGTGTTTATAAAATACCCAGTAAAGAGTAAGATTAACAGCTATTCAAAAATAGTTGCCTATTTTTATTTATCAATCATTAGTAATTTTTCCATCAGTATGGCAAAATATGTGAGATAAACAATTGAAAGAAAGAAGGG